GCATACACAGAGGTGCATTGATGCAGCATTGTAGCTTCACATGTTGTTGCAGATGTATGCAACAAAAATCTCTGTTTTTAAGTTAAAATGTTACAAAAGTTAAATTAGAATTTTGTGCAGACTAGTTGAAAAATTTGCTGGTTAATTTTCATATTATTGTTTATATTGCCCTGCCCCTGTGCACCTTTCCTTTTGCTGGTAGTTATAAATTGATCTGAGCGGCTACCACTTCTGCTTTCGCATATCACTTCAAACAGTTATGGAATTTTTTAGATCTTCCATTAAAGGAATTTTCTAAGTTTCCCTTTGGATCCAGTCAGTCCCTTCATAAACCTTTGGTCAAGTAAGGAAAATGCCTTGTACTCACTCAGGACCCATTTAAATGTGTATTCTGTTCCCAATATGTGAGTGGGCAGCTCAAATAGACAATGTCTGCCTTTATTCCAATGTGTAGCAGTACAAAAACTTTGCTGATAAAGATGTTATAAATAAATACTAATTAAATGTGTGTGACTAAGCTTTAACCTGACTACCCATGGGGTGATTTCATATGAGTGGATTATTTTGTGATTTTAGGGTGATCAGTAATTAGTTATGACCTTTTGCATTTGAACAAATTTCCGAAGTTGTTTTCTTAAACAGAAGTTTTTCACAAACTAAATGTTAAATTTACAAAATAAGAGGCTTTTCTCATTTAAGAAGTACTTTATAAGACGTACTTTAAATACATATTTATAGGTGAAGCAATCATTACCTCCAATTAGCATAATGCAAATGGAGAATATCTTTTCAGCATCCGTATTAGCAGAAACATTTCCAAATCCAACACTGGTTAGACTGCTGAGTGTAAAATAGAGGGATGCAATGTATGTGCTTCGAATGGTGGGACCACCTTGTGTATTATTGCTGTAGAACGGTGACTCCAGTCTTTTCCCCAGCTCATGAAGCCAGCCTGTAGAAACAAATAGAAGCAGAGTGAAACATTTCCATAATAAAATTTCCATAATAAACACTTAAATGCATAACTATAGTCCTTATTAAAATGCTGACAATTCCTGTATTGCTGACTAGTATTACAGACATGCCAGGTTAAAACAGTTCTTCTCAGGCAGCAGAGTTAAGTGACAGGGGAGACTGACTCATTAGGATACAGCAGATTTTCTCAAGTAGCAGATTTTTATACTGGGTAAGACAAACCTTCCCTACTTACATTTTCCCTATCTAGAATCAAGTTCAGAAGGTACCTAACAATAGCACAATGTCACATTTCTATGAGGAGAAATGCAAATTTGGTACATATTTTGAGCTGTTTGCTCCAACCAAATGATAATCCAATGAAGTGAGACCATTGTCAAATATAATGTATACAAGGAAACTTCAGAAACTGCCAGAGTAGCTTTCAAAGGCCACAATCGAAAGTCATTTCATTTGTAGTGATTTATGGGGATGTATCTGGTGCAGGATTTACCCATTTTTATTTCCCAAATATCCCACAGCAAATGCAGGAACACTTAGAGGCCCAGCATACATGTGGAGCAAGGAAAGACATCACTGTTCCCTTCAACAAAAGGTAGTATCAGCAGTTCATATTTCTGCTTGTTAGTGTTTAAAGAATACCAGTTACAACTGGATTTAGGCAAGGAACTGAAAATGTATTCTGTATTTGTTATGGTTGCACAATGCAATCAATTTTTATTAAGACAGCAAATGTCCCATGCAAGGGTGCACATATGAATCATTGTGCAAGCATACTTAAATTATTATTTATATAATACTGCAAACTTTGCCAACATATATGTGACAGAAATACAGCGAAACAGCAGAGAGGCATCATGGCACACTCACAAAACCAGCATGTAAAACAACATGTCTCACCACTAAGGATAATGACAGAGGTTTGGATACACGTCTTCTGCTGAGGAAGAAAATACAGAGAAATACAGCTAGTCACAATAACAAAGCGTACACCATTAAGGGGTCATACTCATGCACATCTGCTAACGTGGTGTACATGATACAGTGTTCAGCATTAGTGTTCCATTGGAGGAGGAAATTAGAGTAAATCTGTTAAAAACAAGAAAATCCTCCTTTATATAGTTTCATTATAACAAACATCCCCATTGAAAAACTTGAACTATAATCTTGTCCTGATGACAATCAGAATGTTGGATTTTACCTCACTTTCGGTCCCGGTGACAGTGGTTGCTACAATAGAGGAGTGAGTCTACCTAGCAGGGGCATAGACAGAAATAGGAACTTGACAGGATTGATAACCCTTCCACACTCAGTTTTGCATTTAGATACACTTTAAGATAGATTTATATTTCCCCCTTATGTTGTCTGAGTCTGACACTCAAGCTTGAGTGTCAGTGGGTCTGAAGTTACCTGAAGTCTGACTGTTGCTGATTGTGAATTGATTGGGCTGTCAGACATCTGTAATGACCTGTGAGGTTATATCAAGACGCTCAACTGTGGAGTTTACTAGTCTAATGGCAGGGTTCAGTTTTGATTCCTTCCTTCACACTCCATTTAGTGTTTAATGGACGGTTTGGAATCAATTACATCATTCCCCACCACTTGGGCGACCTATAAGTTTTGTATGAGCAGGGGAGTGAGAGTAGGTGCAAACAACACGGATCTCCTGGTTTCCCTGCTCAAGTTTAGGTGAACTGAGTATTGCGAATCCCCCAACACACCTGCATCCACATCACCTCAGGCAAGTAGTACTTGGGAGAAACGCAACACACAGATCACACAACGTCACTACAGCAGGTTTAAGTCACTCGGGTGTTTGGTTAAAGGTACTGGTCAATTCAAGTTCCAGCAACTGTTTGGTAATGCTTCCTAGCAGTGAATAACTCCCCTGATCAAGCTTTAACAATCACAATACACAGGTATAGCTCCAGCAGGTGGTAATCAGCAGTGAACAAGTTAACAGTCTTTTGCAGGAATGTGGAAACAGAGACACAGGCTGGGATGGCAATCCCCTTCACAGCATAAAGTCCACAGGCTCAATAGTACAACTAGCAATCAATTGCACTCCAGCAATAGTGTTATGAACAAATGTCAGCAAGCCATCCTGATACTGTGTCAAATGCCTTTAGGCTACTTGCGGTTTTGGGTGATCTCTGATGGGTCCTTTGGTGCAGATGCTGCAATGGTTCACTCCTGGTCTTTGTTCAGCGTGCACCGTTCACAACGGTCGGACGCTGAACAAACAATTCTGCTCCCTTAAATCCCTCCTCGCCGAGCGCGGAGGGGAGGAGCTGGGTCCGTCCATGACGGAGCTGAAGGGGCGGAGCTGGCTGCCATCTAGGACGGCCCTGAGGGGGCAGAGCTGGTTGCCCTCCTGGACGGCCCTGAAGGGGAGGAGCTGGCTGCCGAGCTGGCCGTGCGCGGCCCTGCCAGGCAGCGCTGGACCGAGGACGGGTAAGTCTGTTACAACATCAGATGACCACTGATGACCTGGTTGCCTCAGCAATGGTAGCATTTTTTATCCTCACAATTTCCTTTTCAGTGCTTATGGTAGTGTGAGACCTGTGACCATGTAGCTCTTATAATCAGAGAAAGCTTTGACTTTTTCAAAGAATAATAACTTTCCATCTAGAGCAGACCCACTTACTGATGAGTCATGGGCTAGTTATGAGAATCCTAAGTAGCTTTCTGCCAATAGCTAGAAAATAATTCAATAAGTGTAAGACACAATTTGTAATGCTGAAGTAAAATAAAAATATAGATCTTTAAACTTTGTGAACACAATGTTCTGTAAATTAGTTTATTTTTGTTATTTTTTTTAAATTTTGATTAAGCAAACTGTATGTTAAGTGCATGTCATAAGTAAAACAGAAACTTTAAGATGTATAAATAATTTAGTGTCAATAAAATTTTAGGATTTAGTGTAAATACAATTCTCATAAAAGCTTAATTGAACCCATTGCACTGCCAAATTAACAATTCACAAAAACATATTATGGCCCATTTACTAAATATGTAGAGCATGTATACTTTCAAAGTGAATTGTCACTTTTCTTAGTGAATAAGCCAAAACAAAGTGAAGGTTTTATTTACAATATTTCATCAGCAATCTTACCCTCTTTGTAAAAGAACCAGATAATGAGATTGGCTAATATTGTTTACAGTTCACAGTTGAAGCATAGAATAACATTTTCTACACAGGTGACATGCAGCCCATTTATCTAAAATATAAGCACATTCCTAACATATGCAGGGAAAGCTATTTCATGTACCATAGACAGAAGAAACATAGGCAGGCAGATATCTTACCAAGAATCAGAGGTGGTAAGACATCTAACTTATTGAGAACTGCGATGATTTTTCTGGTTGATGGGACTGAATGATGGGAGCAGAATATTAAAAGTAAATTCTACCTTTTAGAAAAAAATATTAAATGCACACATATTTATAAAATAAATAAATGAGCATTGATTATTTCTTTGCAATAAAGGTAGTAAAGCATTGCAACGGCAGTCAGTGGATCTCAGGTTGAAATGCTCTGGCTTCTGCAGATACTCCTTCCCATCTCTGTCTCTGTATTGTGGTATGGACATTCAGTAACTAGGATGGGAGGAAGTGTTAATGCATTACAAGTGCAATGACATCACCGCACTTGTATTCCATTGATAACTACAAGTCTCTCTGCCGCAGTAGATTTTCCATTCACAGGTCCTGTCAAAGGATATGTGAAGGGATGATACAGCTGTATGGGAGGAGCCACACACATCTATGCCAGATTAAAAAAGCAGCATCAGCCTGTGTGGAAAAGAACCTTGCACTTCAGGTAATTGGGGCGGGCAGGATAGTAAATAAGGGAGGGAGTGATGATGTGACCATGTTTCATGTTACACCCTGAATATGTGTGCAACATGAAACATGATCTAAAAGATGAAATTAAATTACAATAAACACTTTCTTCAATGTTCTTTATAAAAGTGACCTTAAGGTCCTAAGGTGGACCTCAGAGAACCTCGCATATTGTTGAAAAGGTACAAATGACTATACCATATTTGGGACCCCCCCAGAGCTTAAAGTAAATTTTGACAAACATTCTTTAAACCATTTTAACAGCTGTTCTGACTACTTTTAAACAAATTCTTCTGTTAAAAAAGTGAAATGTTCACCATAAGTTGCAAACAGATTCTTTAATATAATCCACAACACTCACCACTCAGATTCCGCAGTCAGATCCATATTAAGAGGAAACTCCGAGTGCTGGCAAAAGGCTTGCTTCCACCTGTAGGAATTTCTGTCCAAGAAGAGCCACACTCAATGGTTCCTCCAAATAAATCTAAATATTATTTTAATCCATGATACAGCATACACCTTCCAAAGCTCTGCAGAACAAGGCCCCCCAGAAAGAGTTTATTCCATTCTAGTGAGCTTTGGAAGGTGTATGCTATATCATGGATTAAAATAACATTTGGATTTATTTGGAGGAAGCATTGAGTGCTGTTCTTCTTGGACAAAGATTCTTTAATATGTTTAAAAGTTCCACTATGCTGAAAGGTTGGTGCATCATGTAACACCGACCATGTCTGACAGTTAGAAGAACTTGTTACTATGTTGCTACATGACCTGATTGTGACAGGTAAAGTGATGATTAAAACAGCCTCACTGCTTACACACAAAATCACATAATGCACCAGTGGGAATGGACCTTACAAAAGAACTCTATTAAATAGAACAATGATCTTTAAATTAGCTATACAGCAATTTTTCATGGACCCTAAGAAACTCATTTGAGGATAATCTGTGTTTTAGAAGGTTGTCAGTTGTGCTTAACATGCAAAAATGTGCACAGTTCATTGAATAGGCCTGGTGCAAGCATGACGGCAGAATGTTTTGCATTTCCAGTTCCATGAACCATCCTTATTCATGGAATAGTAGGAAAAGAATAGTCAAATTATTCCTATAGTCCAAAAATCATTTATTGGT